ATATATATATACAAATATATAATAATAGGAATATCATGTAATAATCGTAGTTCATCAACGACTAGTAACTTTATTTCGGTTGCATGAAAAAAAATGTGTCTCTGGCGGGATTCCAACCTGCAACCTCTCGCTATCAAAGCGGGTATATACCCACTAGACCACAAGGACTTATGGTATAATAGACGCGCAGATCTAACCACCAGGCACTTTCTCTCATACAACTGACTAAAACGCTCACACATAATGTGTTTTAAGCTAGAAAAACTTGTTTTGTAGGTCGCAGGTGGGAAATTATAGTAAATACTATTCAAATCAAGTTTGATGTGAAGCATCGTGAGCACGATATATACTCTAGATAAATAATAACAGTGCTCGAATAGGAAAAATATCATTTTCTCCCTCGTTTTGTCGTTTACGATACTTAAGAACAGCACGCATAAGACAGATTATCTCCAATAGGATCCAAACTTCCATACGACAGCCCTGGTGACCCAGTGGGTTGCGTGTTGCGTCTGCCTAGACAGCAGAAGATCCCGGTTTCGAATCCCGGTTGACCCGTCTTCCTTACCATTTAAAAAATTAAAATATATTTATAAAGCATTACCACAATTATGGTTTAGAGTTTGTATTGTTTCTTTACGTGTAACAAAATTATCTCTTCGGAGATCCCGTCTTGTTTTCGTACCACATTGATCGTTGTTGTATGTGTGTACGTCAAATGTTAGTGTTGATCCGAATACCGTATTGTTCCACCAATCTTTACCATTTACAATAAAACCTATATTATATTCATAAAGGATACCAATAGACGATTAAGTGTTTAGCTTTGTCCGTGCAGAATTTATATATATGTTAATAATATAGAACTACTATATACATAATATGTATTATATATATAATACATAATATGTATTATATATATAGAGCCACATAGCTTGTATTCCACTATTTGCATTCACACCTGGGCTGTGTATATATATTGCCTTGGTTTGGCTCTGTAATCATTAATGGTCGTGGGACTAGTTTGGGCCCTACCTAGGCTGGTCGAACGTTTCGTTTGGGTCTATACCCTAGCTGCACTGATGAGGCCTGGAAGGCCGAAACGGATCCGTCTGCAGATATTGGGATTCCTTCCAGTGGATGCTTAGTTTATTTTGTCATTCTGATCGGATTTCTCTACTGTTCCGTTTTAATTACTACATAGATTTAATTTGTAAAAAACATCAACTCGTTGAAACCATTTCAGCTTACAATTATACGATACTGTTAGGATTTGTCTTTAGAAAGTGTATAACCTAATTTGGGATCAAGTAATGCATATTCATATCACCATTACATGTACAGAAACTACTGCAGCCAGTAGCGGCGCCAGGGTCTGAAATCTGGGGTCGGGTGGCAAGATTTGTTTGTTTGTTTGTTTATTAGTATTTCTCCACATATACATAAATTAGAAGTATAATTCATATGGAAAAAAAAAGTATGTGGATGGTGGTCAAAATAAGTTTGAAAACAAACTTTAAGATATGACCACCATTAAAAATAATTAATAAATCNNNGAAATAAAAATAAAAAATAAATAAATAA